TATAGCATGTGAAGCATCTTAAACTTTATCATCTTAAATTTATCAGATTAAAAGTTAGCTTCTATTACGTCAGAATGTTTTATAGAGCGCTGTGACTAGTGAACAAGAGAAGACAGATGCAGCTGCAGGATAAGTTTTGTGGTAGTTCCATTGTGGGATGGGAGAAGAGAGATACAGATGTTTCATAATATTCAGAATATTGATCTTCTTATTTTTTTTTTTCTTCTCCTTAGACCTGGTGTGGTGGGCTTACAGTGAGTACTGGATTGCAGGTGCCAAGTGCTATTAGCATGGTCCAGAAAAGTGAAAATAGATTGAGTGGTTCAACAAACAGCCTAAACAATATTGCCTACTAATGTCTGGTAAACACTTCTCTTGCTGAATGGGTGTTTTTTTTTTTCCTATGTAGCTGGTACTCACAGAAGCTTGTGAGCACTGGATTACACTGGGTTAGCTACCTACTGTTGTTTAAGGCCTGCGTACTGATAGTGCAAAGGTTTGGGGCTATAGTGTTGATAAAACCTACTGTGAATTAAGACAAATGTCAGAAAACTGAAATGTTGCCCTTTTGAAAAAAATAAGTGAGAAATCAAAAGCTGTAACTTGTGTACTTTTCTAATGCTGTAAACATTTTATTATGGACTTGAGTATTTTTATTTTTTTATGAAGAATAAATATAATTAATACCATTTTCTTAGCTGTCCTAACATCAGTTACTTCACTATATTATTACTGGGCTTCCTGTTAGAACTTGTGATGTGAAACATGCATTTCAAAAGGATATTTATTTGAGCCCAGGCACACATTTTTGCTAGCTGATTTGACTAGAAAGCCTAGTGAGGATTCCTGGAAATTTCTGAATAACCAGGTAACTCCAAAAATTGCATGAAATTTTTTACCCAGCAGAAACATGGAATTTCATGCATAACCTGCTTGCCTTGTTCCGTACACTATGTTAATGTGGCTGTAAGACTGTTTTTGTGGATAAAAAATCGGCTGGATGGCTGCACGCAAAGATTTGCAGTCAACAGCTTAACGTCCAGTTGCCCTCAAGGATCGGTGTTGGGACCAGTCCAGTTCAAAATCTTTGTCAGTGACATGGACAGTGGGATTGAGTGCGCCCTCAGCAAGTTTGCTGATGACACCAAGCTGTGTGGTTCGGTTGATACGCTGAAGGGAAGGAATGCCATCCAGAGGGACCTTGACACACTTGTGAGGTGGGCCAATGCCAACCTCACGAAGTTTAGCTATGCCAAGTGCAAGGTCCTACACCTGGGCTGGGGCAATCCCAGGCACGGCTACAGCTTGGGCAGAGAGGAGATTCAGAGCAGCCCTGTGGAGAAGGACTTGGGGGTGTTGGGTCAATGAGAAACTGAACATGAGCCAGCAGTGTGGACTCGCAGCCCAGATAGCCAACCATATCTTGGGCTGCATCAAAAGGAGTGTGACCAGCAGGTCGAAGGAGGTGATCCTGCCCCTCTACTCTGCTCTCATGAGACCTCACTTGGAGTATTGTGTGCAGTTCTGGTGTCCTGAACATAAAAAGGACATGGAGCTGTTGGAGCAAGTCCAGAGGAGGACCACGAGGATGATCAGGGGGCTGGAGCACCTCCTCTGTGAAGACAGGCTGAGGAAGTCAGAGCTGTTCAGCCTGGAGAAGGCTGCATGGAGACCTCATAGCAGCCTTCCAAGTATCTGAAGGGGGCCTGTAAGGATGCCAGAGAGGGGCTCTTTATCAGGGACTGTAGCAGTAGGACAAGGGCAATGTGTTTAAGCTAAAACAGGGGAAGTTCAGGTTAGATGTAAGGAGGAAGTCCTTTACTGTGAGGGTGGTGAGGCACTGGAACATGCTGCCCAAAGAAGCAATAATTGCTCCATCCCTGGCAGTCTTCAAGGCTGGGTTGAATGAAGTCTTGGCTGATGTAGTTTATTTAGTGTGAGATGTCCCTGCCCACGGCAGGGGTGTTGGAAGATCTCTTTATAGCTTCCAACTTAGGGCATTTCCTTTTTTTAAGGGCAAGGACAAAGTGTACAGTGAACAAGTGCTTTCCCAGCTAACTTAATCTGCTGCTGGATCTGCAGGTTTACATTTTCTTTCACAAATCAAATGAAACGTTGAGCCTTGGTGTTCCATCATCTCAATTTCTATTGGGAAGCTTAGTAAACACAGTCAAATGACTATTAACAGTGGGAGAGCTAAAAAAACCCAAAACAAATCATGTTACATTCTTCATGGAAAATCCCAGCTTTTCAATGAGAATAACTTGTGTATTATAGACTGCTTAAATTAGCTTTCTTCCCTCTAATCAAGTCCAGGAGCCTAGAAGCAATTTTCAGATACACAATTCAATTGACTATTTCCTAACTGAAGATTTTTTCTTCCTAATATCACCTGAGAATTGTTTCTGCTTCGTGCTGATAGGGTCCATAATGAATTGGCTCCTTTCCTACAGGGCCAATGTAGGAAAGGAATAAAATTTTTTGGTATATGTATCTCTCAGTCCATAAAAAACAACCATCTAATTGTGTTAAATTTTGTTAGTATCAGTGGGTCCTTTGCATCCATCAGGATTTCTCAAGAGGAGGAGAAATTCCTTAAAAGTAATAAACTGGTTGTGGTGTTCAGTGGAAAATTGAAATTTTCCTTTTCAGCGGAAAACTTAATTTTTTTTTCTAATACCTGCTCTAGAAAGTTTTGTTTCCCTTGAGAAATCATGAAGTTGACAGGACAGTTGAGCCCCTAATGTTCATTTCGTATCTGGAACTTGAGCATCCCTAAATATTTGCATTTTGAACAGTTAGCTGTAATAGTTCTTGCAGAGGAAAGTGCAGAACAATTCCTAGTTTAAGTGCACCTTCCTCTACCAGTCGTTTTGGATCTTGAAACAAAAATCCTGTGACATGGTTTTAAAATCAACAGTGTCTGAATCTTTCACCCATTATCTACAGTTGTTGTTATTCACATAGTCTGTGTAATAATTTTCAACATTTCTTCCTAACTTCTTTCATTTCTACTGCAATTGTCCTGGGTTCAGCTGTAGCTGACTGGGTGTTTAGGGGCTCATCTGCTATTAATTCAGTGGTATATGAGGGAGGATTGCATGCTTGGACCCTGGTGGTGTTTAGAATGAGGATGGTTAAGACAGATGCTTCATGTTTTGAGGCTTGTTCTACTGAATGACTGTGATAGACATCGAAAGAGGATTGTACCTATTCCCAGTGCCCAGTCATTTGCTTCCTCTTGGGTGTTCAACTACAGTTCCTATTTAAATTTCCCTTCTTGAAAAGAAAGGGTATGTTTACAGTAGTTAATGTGGGATGTGAAAGAACCATGAGTAATCTCCAACCCTTCATAAAAGCATTTAAATGATGAAGTTTTTCTAGCAAGATGTTGTGCAACCTGCAAGGTAAATTTGATATGCACAAGTAAAAATGTAATTTAACACTTAGAAGAAAGCTTGAAGTATTTCATACTGTAACTTGTGACTTGCAAGTTTTAACTGATGCCCTAGATGAACTTAACATGTGACTTTTTACCCTTAAAAGATAAATTTGTTACGTAATAGTTTGCACAGATGTCAGATTTTTGCTGCTAACAGCTAGTCCAATTATTTCTAGTAAATGGGGATATGAAGAATTGCCTTAAGCACTTTAGGGTTTTTTTTACTCTTTTTTTCTGAGCTAGTGTCTGTTGGATACCTATGTATTGCTGATGCTTTGTTACAGTTGGTGCACTGTTTGTACCTGCAGCTAGAGAGGGTTGTGGCTGGTGAAGCTACCGTTTTTTTTCTGGGGATGGGAGGGCTTGTTCTTTGGCAATGGATTAGACCTTTGAATGTCTGTAGCTTTTGCCCCGCAATTAACGCTAAATGTAATATGCCTGATGACTTTAATATTCTGTGAGCCTCTCCTGTGGGGTTAATGCTGTCTGGTGGCTAGGCAGTTTCCTGCTATATGACCAAAATGAATTTAAAATAACTTCAGGATGACTTGTGAGGAACTGAAGATTTCTCTGGAATTTCTGATACATCAGAAAAGTGTAACTTTGTTTCTGCATAAAGCTGTATGGACTGCAGCAAGGGATGCCGCTTTCAGAAAGCATTTAAAAGCATCCAGGTGGTAGGTGCTCCTCCAGATACCAAATCTGAATGGCAGAGTGTAACAGGCTTATTTCTTTAGCCATCCTCTTCAGCAGAGAAAGTAATGTACAAATCCTGTTTCCTCCTGCTTTGCGCCCCCCCCCCCCCCCATGTTACTAGTTTCTTTCAAGGACTAGGGAAACCAGTTCCCCCGGTAAGAACATCTGGCTCAGCAGTATCTTAGCCTGATAACGGTCACAGGTTATGAATGATGCCTAGTTTGACAGACAATGGCATCGACTTCTGCTCATCATTGCCCCACCCAGCCTCACTGGAACTCAGACACTCTGGATGCCCTGTGGAAGGGGAAGCCTGAATGTAGTCTTCCCTCCTCACCACGCCGAGCAACGACGTCCTCCATTGCCTCTTCTTGCGGCGCCTACCCTGCGGCCGGCGCGGGGTTTACCCGGTCCTCCCTTGGCTCTACCTCAGGTCTTCTCCATCAGTGCTTCACCGCGGCTCTGCGCAGCGCGGCCGGGAACGACAAGAAGGCGGCCCCCGGGCGTGGCTTTAGGGCCGCGCGGTGTTTCGGGATCTGTGACTTGTGTGAAGGCGAGCTTTTTCTATTAAAGAGACACCTGGAAGTGGATGTGCCCGTGTTCTCGTTTCATCCTTCCTCCGCGGAGGGGGGCTGGCTGGGAGGGCCCGGTCCCCCGATAGTTGCATGCGAACCCCAGGCCCAGCGGCGGGCGTGCTCTGCCCCTCCGCGCATGCGCGGGCGGCCGCGGGCGGTGCTCTGCAGCGAGGGTGGCAAAGTGGGTGAGGGGCCGGCGGCCCGGTGCGGTGAGCGGGAGGCGCTCAGGACCGTGCAGTGTCGTGCCGGTGGCGTTTCCTAGGGCCTCGGCTCGGACCTACTGGTTGCGGCCTGCTGCGGTCCCCGCTTCCCTCCGGCGGCGCGCAGGGAGGAGCTGGGAAGCCGGAGAAGATGAGCGACGTGACGCAGCTTCCAGGCGGTGATCGACAGCGCCCCGAAGACTAATGCAGAAAATCAACAAGAACGTGGTTCTGGCGCTCCTCTCTCTGACCAGCCTAGTTTTCCTTCTCTTCCAGTTGTACTATTACAAGTTCTATCTGTCGCAGAAGGTAAGAGAGCTGTGCTGCACAGGCTTGCTTTTGTGGAATAACGCGGTATAACCTCTGCGCTGTTCAGAGGCCCTTAGCAGCGCCAGAGCCACCTCCGAACTGCCCTCGTGTGGCTAGCAATTCCTGCAGTGTTGACGTGGAGCAGGTAGGTAGCTCTAGCAAGGTACTGGTGGCAGAGGTAATCAGGTGAAGTTGTCACCCTGATATTCAAGTCATTGTGTCAGCCGGAGGCATCCCGTTAATTCTAAAAAGGGATGTTCGCTGCTTAATCTTCACAAGCCTTCTTACTCGTGTTGTTAAGTGACTTTTGTGGAAAGTAAAGTCAAACCAAGTGCTGTCTTGGGGCTTTGAAGAAGCAAGGAAGGCAGCCTTTATTGGCTGCAAGTTTTTCCAGCAGTGGTGTTTTTAAAAGAACTGCAGTTGCCGTGCTGTTTTGTGATTCAGGGTTCATAATTTTCTAGGTGACAGATTAAATCGTGCTTTTAAGCAATAAGTGGGGTGTTTAGGTGAGGCTGGTCTTCTGTAATAGAGAAAGAGGTTCAGTGTTACTGTTAATTAAATACTGTGGGGCGTTTTTTATGGCTTTGTAATTTACAGTTGCAGTGCAGATTGAACAAACTATTTTTATGGAAGAACTGCGTAGGTATCATATTTCCTGAGTTTCTTTTGGTGAGGACTTTCTTAACAAATGCAGGCAGTCTTACTGCTGGGTAGTACCACAACCTTTGACTTTCTTCTAGTTTCTGACTGTGAGCAACAAGGCTGTGAATGAGAAATTCTTCATGCTTTTGAAAAGCTAAAAGCCAAGCCATTAACCACCTTGGCTTTGTCATATGAATATATTCTCTTTCAAATTTAACTCTTTAGGATTACACCTGGAAAGACTGAGGCGTAATCCTGTTGTCTTTCCCCTAGTGGTATTTGCCTAACAGGGTTTGTATTTGTCATCTTCTTATTTTACTTATGTTGACTTAGAAACCTGAAGTCTGATCATGCAGTCCTTGTATGTCTGGAATTTCTCAAGGCTTGTGTTGTCCCTCTAAATACACTATGCCAGAGCAGTTGTTTATGATTTCATGTGCAGTAGTGTAGTTGAGTGACTGGAGACATAAATAACGAGAGCTGTAACTATAAAATGCTGATTGAATAAATGCTTCTGAATGTCCTGTTAAGAAATCCTGAGCAGGAATTCAACCAAAACTTAATTTTTCTCCCTTTTCTTTCTCCCTCCCACTTCCCTTCTTTGGTTTTGGCAGAATGGAGCAGTGTTTTCCAAAGTCAGAGGAAGCCTGTCAGGACAAGACAGCACTAGATGGGTATGTACAATGTTACTAGTTCATACGGTGATTCTGCCAGTCTCTGAGAACTCTCATGCAACTGTACAGTTCTCTTTCAAATTCACTGGGGGTTTTCTAGTATTAACGGCTAAAAGATTCTTTCTTCACTGAGTAAAGTTAATGAAGTGTTTCAAAACATCAGTTTAAAACAGAACTGGGAAGCAGTTACAGGTTAGCAGCCTCTTCTGTGCCGTCCTTACTAGTGTTGTTAAAGTTCTAAGCAGCAGCAAAACTTGTTCTTTCTGATACAGAAGTTTTGATCCAGGCTTTTGTATTCTTTCAGACTGAGTATTGGAAAGATTGGCTTATTTCGAATGCAGCTTGTTGCTAGTCAGTAGCGTAGTAAAAAAATCAGCTGCAGGTTGCAGGTCACAGGATACCCCTTTGCTCACTCACCCCAGCAGTTATTTAACCTGCTGCTCAGTGTTTTCTGTTACTTGCTTATGCTGGGTCATAAAGTTCTTCACAAGCAGGAAAATGTTACATTTCAGCATTCACCAGTTTCTGTATTCCAGGGTTCAGGAGCAGTGATAGCAGTGCCATTAAATACTTGAAATGGGGTATTTTTTATTGTTTCTTGTTTAAGGTTTGAAGGATTGAGTGCAACCAAAGCATCATGTTGGCCCCAGGAAATCAGCTCAGTATGATTTCATAGTTAGCATTTGTTTTCTAAACACTTTATAGAAGCTTTTTGTTTAACAGATCTCGCAGAGAAAAACCAGCACAAATGGTTAAAGAACAATGTGCTGGGAGCTGGCTGCTGTTTTTTTTGGATGCTAATGTTACCAGTTAGCAAAACAGCCATTTAAACACCTTGCTTCTGCTGAGGAAGAGGAAGTGTGCACTGATTAAGAGCTGTTCTTAGGAGTAATCTTGATCAACTGCCCTATGGACTGTTGGATTGCACCTGGAATGTCTCGCTATTCTTGGAGGTGGCACCCCTTGGAACTACCTGCCATGTTAGGTGACATGGTCAGAGTGGGCTTCCAGTTTGTGGGCAGAGTTCTTATTAAGCTTTAACTTGCGCTTACAAGATCATCAGTAACAAAGCAGAATGTTGCACTCCAAACTTCCTTGAGAGTCCCTGTGAGATGAGTCCAAAATGCTCTGTTTGAATGCATTTCTCTTAGCTGCTTGACATGATCACCATCTCTTTCTGCCAATTACTTGTTTCAACTAAAAGCATTTGACCCTGGAGAAGTGAAGGAGGGGGTAGAGGGGTGTACATACCAGTCTGATATGCTAGTTTTAGTTACAGAAATAGTGCTAGCACATAACTCACCTTTCAGCTCCATGTAGATGAAATCACTAAAAGGGTGGTTGTGCTCCTGCCTGTACAGCACATGTAGCACTGTTGCCTGAATTCTGTTTGTTGATCCACATTCTGTCTTTACATTTTTACATCCTTCTGAAGCCAAAGCACTATGCCAGAATTGGAGGTTGGCCTGTGGAGTCTGACTGAACAGATTCAGCAGCTGGGCAGGAGGAAGGTTAGAGCTTCACTTTTAAAAAAGCCAGAATTATCTTGCTGGGTGGGTAGCTTGGGCTTACCACACCTCTTCTAGAAACCTGGAGATGTGACAGTCATAAAGCCTGGCAGTTCTGTTCTAAGAAAATGTTTTGGGGTATTTTTAGAACAGTACTTTAAGTAAATTTATCTGTTACAGGTAAAAACATTACATTTTTAACAGCAGGGTGGCTATGACTGTTGTGAATGGCTTCTGTGTGCCAGTGTCCTGGGTTCAGCAGTAGCAGTCATTTTCCTCCTTAGTAGCTGGTGCAGTGCTGTGGTTTTGACTTTCAGCCTGGGAACAGTGCTGATAACACTGATGTTTTTAGTTACTGCTCAGATGTTTAGTCTGACCAAGGACTTTCTGAACCTCATGCTCTTGCCAGCGAGGAGGGGAAGCTGGGAGGAAGTAGAGACAGGACACCTGACCCAAACTAGCTGAAGAGGTACTCCATACCACAGCACGTCATGCCCATGGTGGAAAACTGGGGGCAGTTACTCAGAAGGGCTAGCTCACTGCTGGGTTGCGCTAGGTATCGGTATCGGTCAGTGGGTAATATTGTATTCTCTTCCCTTGTTATTTCCTTTATCATTACTATTATTGGTGGCAGCAGTAGTGATATGTGTTGTACCTTAGTCACTAAACTCTTCTTATCTCAACCCGTGGGAGTTACATTCTTTCAATTCTCCTTCCCATCCCTCTGGGAGCAGGGGGAAGAAAGGGGGGAGGGAGTAGACTCTGTGGTTCTGATTTATGGCTTGGTCTTAAACCACAACAGTCAGGAACACTTAAAAGTATTTAATTAAAATCCTCCACTGAGTCAATTTAATAAATCTTCTCATCAGGCACAGAATCATCTTGCTGCAGCTTTTAACCCCTTATGCAGTGTTGCAGTGGTTAAGTGCTCTGGGTACACAGGTATCCAAAGACCGGATAGCACTCAGTTCCTACCTCCTCATTGGGTCACTGATGATATACAGCAGGTATCATGTAAATGATTTGGGGAGTGCATCAGGAACCTTGCTGAAATCAAGGTATGAACAGTGTCCATTGCTCTTGTCCACAGACTTCTTCAAATACAATTGGTGTGATTAGGTGCAGTTTGTCTTTGTCTTTTCCCAGTCATGTCCTTGTCCTTTATGTGCTTGGATTTGACTTCCCAGGGCCTTTTCTTCCAGAAGCTTCATGGGGACTGAGAGTAATGTGACCAGAGTTCTCCAGAACCTCCTTTTTGAAGATGGCATGAGATTTGCCTTTTCTCAGACTTGAGAAACTGCTCCTGATCATGGCCCTTCAAGATGTTGCAGGGCAGCCTCAGAATGGCATCAGCCAACTCACTTAGCACCCACATGTGTGTTGCATCTCATCCTGTAATTTCTGGTTAATTTAAGTGCTTTCCAACTCGCTCTGAATCTCCAAAGGATCTAGAGTTTAGCCTACAGTCTGCTTTCAAGTCTAGCACTCCACAGTTAAAGTGCTGTAAATTGTAGAAAGTTCTAATTGAAGCTGAAAGGTTTTCACTTTAGTCTGAGAGATGTGGAAGGGCTGAGAGCAGCCTGTTTTTCTGAGAGAGAAAATTTCCATTTCCACAATTGTTCATGAAGTAAAATGGATACTCAGAAAATGTATTGGGAAATAAAATGTCTTTCTGTCAGCTGGTTGGGGTTGTTTCTCCCTTCTGTCAAACAGTTTTAATGTATTAACCTTTGTATGCTTAAAGATGGTGTTTCCAACTTAAAATCTTATCTTCTGTCAAACAGCACGTGGTTAGGAAGTTCTTAGGCTTAATATCCAGTCACAATATACCAGTGTATTTGATCGATCCTTTGATTCTGGGACTGGTTGATAAAGATATTGAACAGATCAAAAGTTCTCCTGATGGCCCTAGTCCAGAATGCAAGTACTTTTGTGCTCCAGGAGACTTTACTACATTTGCACTGCTGGACAAAACATGGAAACATGAAGTAAGTGCCTTTTTTTCATTTCGCATTTGTGTATTTGAATGTACTTAACCGTTCAGTGATTTTATTTTTTTTTACACAGTGTTTTCATGTTTATATTAAGCCCTCTTAATTCATTGTGTGGAAATCTTGTAAAGGTACTGCTAGAGGAAACTCAGTTTTAATAGTGAAAGGCATCCAGGCACTACCCTGAATACATGAGGAGTAATTTACTAAAAGTTTTTGGAAGCTGTCTGGAGCATGCATAAACACTTGTAGTAAGAGGCCACACCAGAAAGAACCAAAAAAAGTGGTCTGTTAGGAAAGAAGAAGTCTGTATTCTAGATACAGCTGCAATAAGTCTTGTGTCTGGGGAGGAATGCAGGTGTTGATGTGACAAGGCTGGAAAGATTAACATAGTCTTAGAAGACATTTAAACCATAATCTTACAGTTTATATTTCTGTTAGTACATTCTTGTACTTAACACCATTTTATTTACTCAGTGTATTGTTATCTCTGCTTTTCTTTGGTGTTCTGAGATTTTTAAATGGATGAGTTAAAAATAGAGGTGTAGCAGGTAGCAAAGGACAAAATGAAATCCAAGATTATTCCATCAATTAAGCATCAGCTGGAAATATTATAGGCTATACAGACTAAATATACCAGTGACAAACAGGAAAAAGCAGGGGACGTTAAAATGGTCTGTGAGTATTTTTACTGCATAGCTGTAAAGGACTTAAAGAAACTGAAAATAAGGTTGTGTGTAGCACACTTATTTAAATCCATCTCCCCATTCCTTTGTGGCTCATTGATATTATCTGTAGCATCCAGAGGAGAAGCTGATGTGCCTGTATAAAACAGTTCAAGGGGGGTAATTGAAAGCATGTTCAGATGATAATTGGTTCTTTTCTTATCAGCCAGAATTTAATTCCCTTTTTGTATAGAAATATGAAAGTGTGTTACCTAGTGCAGTGTTTGGTGAGATTTAGGCAAATACTTGTGTGCATCGTAAAAGAAGATTTTTGCAGTGTATTTTTGAGTAGTTTGTGCTTAAGTCGAATTAGAAACTGAAAATGGCAAATAATGTCACTTAATAATAAGCAATAAGCTTTTAATTTTGGTTTCTCTAATCTTTAGCCTCTCTCTCTCTTAATATAGGTGGGCCTTTTTAGAACTGCTGAGAAAATGGGGTTCCAATGGCTAAAAATTATAAACAAGGACCCCCGCTTGGATGGGATGGATGACCTGTCTGGGATTGAAATTCCTTTGCACTACATATTTAAACTGGCATCTCATGCCATTCACCTGGTGGTCTTCTATGAGAGGAGTGGTAATTATCTGTGGCATGGCCCCCTGAGACTCAAGCAACATATGGACAGAAAGTTTGTGCCTTTCCGGAAACTCCACTTTGGTCGCTACCCTGGAGCATATGAAAAGTGAGTTCAAAACAGAGGAGAGAAAAAGCCATAATGACACTTCCAAAATAAGTTGTTTCTCCTGTATATAAAATTACTCTCTTTCCTGAAGCCAAGTTGTACAATTTAGCTTACGTATGATTCAGCCCTCAAAGTGCATGTAAGCTAAGGCATGAAGGTAAATCCAGTTCTGTTTACCTGGCAGCAACAGCTTCCCACGATTCATAAATGAAGAAGTGCATTTTAGAGGAAGTTGCTATTTGGCCATGTCAAAGCAAGGAGAAGGATGTGAGAAGTCATGACTGAGGTTGAGTGTATCACAGGATCTTCTGCTTGAGTCAGTGGTTTACCATTAATATATTTCAGAGTTTGAAATCTCTTGATGCCATGTGCTATAAACACAGGGGTAAAGTAGAAGTGGCAAGAGATTTAGTACTAGCTGATAGCTATTTGGTGTTCATTCTATAACAGTATGTATCCAAAAGTTGAATACAGGTTCTGAGCATTAAATGAAAAGGTGAAACAACAGGCATCCATTCCATAACAGTACAAATAATCAGTGTTAAAGAGCATGAATAAAGAAAGGTGACTCTAATACCACAAAGACATGTGCCAACCACTGAATCTAGACTATGCTCGTAACATGCTCCGGGGACTCCTTTCTTGCATAAATGTTTGAATTGCTGGTTTTATTTGTCCATAGTCTTACACTTAAACTTTGCATTACATTAGTAAAGTTACTGTAAATGTCTGCCTTTTCTTACAATGCTTTCAATGGGAGTATTTTAGGAAATAACAGGTCTTGTCGCTGTTTTCAAATCCAAGCACATGCCACTAGGCTTTGAGGGCAGTTGTTCCTGTAGGATGCGTGTATGTGTCATATATTAGAGAAAAACAGCCAAACAGATCAAACTTAAATCTGTTAAACTTTCTCCTTAAAATTGACACCATTCTTTCTTCCTTTTAAAACATGCAATCTGTGCTGATTATGTGCCTGAACATTTGAAGTCAGCTGTGTAAGCTGTTAAATAGCACATTTCATTCATTGTGAAGGCCGATCATTTTTTTAGATTTTAAATGCAAATAACCTCAAAGTACAGGGTAACTTGGTCCTTAAATGCATCCCATATTTAGACAACTAAATAAGCAGCACTGCGTAACAGCTCTGAACAAATTCAGTGCAATTTATGAGTCAATAAAGGAGTCAGTGGTCTGACAAGGTAACTATGGGCTTTTAGGCATGGAATTCCTTTTAAACAGAATTTTTAATTGCTTGGGAATTTGTTTAAGCTCTTGTTGGTCTCCTTTTGTAATTGGGTTTGGGTGTATTTGGACATAGGTGTCACTGCCAGTTTTGTGCATTAAGATTTTAACCTAAGCTAGAGGAAAAAGTGGCTTCTGATTTGTAGAGCAATTGAAAAGGGTAATAGATCATCTTTTTCTCCCTGCAGGCCAGAACTTTTGCTTGTTTCCATTGATGACTTAAAAGTTCAAATTCCCAAAAACCCATCCAGTTTTCTAGAGGAGATGTCACACTCTAGATTTCTTGAATGTAGGTACAGAGAAGCTCGGGCTTTCTTTCAGGTTAGTGGTAATCAGGTAGTGTCTCTGAGATGTAATGTATGTTTTCATTGCTTGACACAAACCTACAGTTTACTGTTTTTTACCTAGATGTGACTGCTTGCATACATAAAGCTAAATACAGCCTCTGAGACTCAATCCACAATTTAAGTGCTAATAAAACTAAAACTTTAACTGAAAATTATTGTTTTTTTTAACTTGTTAGCACATTTTTTTCCATTTTCAAAACTTTGAAAAGAAGAGGTAACCAACACGTCCACAGTTCTCACGCATTGTTACTGTTAAATCGATTTCATGTAAATAAGACTTAAGATCTTGCATATCTTTGTAGTTGGAAATTCTTCTTATGGCAATTCTCAAAGTTTTGAGTAGTAGACTTACAGAACAGTTAGGGTTGGAAAGGACAGTAGGGTTGGAAAGGACCTTAAGATCATCTAGTTCCAACCCCCTGCCATGGGCAGGGATGCCTCCCACTATTCCAGATTGCTACCTTGGCTCGAAAATCATCAGGCAGTATTCATCACAGGCAGAGAAAATGTGCCTTAGAAGGTATATTGAACTTTGCTGGAGCTTTAATATTGAAATAAGCAACTGGCATGTTTTGAAAAGTATTAATTTCAGCTGTTTGTTGCCCAAGAGCTCTTAACCATCATGAAGCTGTGTGGTGTGATGCTCTTCTGTTCGATTTGGTAACGTTTGCCCAGACTGCCGTGTTGTTTTGGGCTTTGCATTACCAGAAGATCGTGCCACGGTTGCAGCTGGAAGATAGGCATGATTTCCTCCTCACATTTTTATTGTGTAACAGAAATTGTCAATGTCCGGTTGTAACACTTGGTGGCGCCAAATAAACTAATGTGCTGCGAGTCGCTGATCCTGTCCCAGCTTCTCCCTGAGCTCTGGGTACTGAGTTCTGCATGTGCAGAACTAGGGTTCGTCTGTGTTTGTTGTCAAATGCTGAGAATGAGTGTCTAATACATATATTATGATTCTATTTTACTGTGACTTTACATTATGTTAGTCCGAAAAACTTAAGATTGATGTCTCAGGCTTGAATTTTAACTTGTCATTCTAGTGGAGGTTCAAAAACTGGGCTGTATATGTGAAAACAGATACTGCCCAGATACTGGTAAAGTAACTTTTTAAAGGTTGTTTTTTCTTAGGACACTGAAAACTGAATGGACAAGTTTGCTGTCTTAAAAGCTTGCTTACTCTTTCTTTGCCTTCCAGTTGTATCCTGATGATGCCTCTCTTGATGCAGTGGAGTTCAGAAAGAAAGCAAAATCTTTGCTCCATCTGGCTGCCCTAACACTCAACAAATTAGGGGTAAAGTTCTGGCTGAGCAGTGGAACATGCCTTGGTAAAATATCTGTATTATGTTGTGTTCTTAAACTCATCTGAAATGTTAAACCTTTCATCCCCTATTGCTTGTGATGTTAACTCAGGTTAAATGTACCATGCTGGAAGGTAATGCGTGGCATTAGCTATGTTGTCAGGAGCAAAAAAGGCCTGCTTCAAAATGCTTTTTCTTTAGAAACCTGAGCCTTGGAGATGCTGAACAAATTTCCAGTGAAGCATTTAGTGTGGTTAACGTTTTTCTGTGTTGTGTTCACTGCGATCACTGCTTAGGAAATAATCATCTGTTCCCCAGACTGTGTGAGTTGGAATTTACTAAAACGGTAGTTAGAAAACACAGTGATGGATACACTGCCGTCCATGTAGGCTCTCATCTGATTTTTCTTCCCATGCAGTTTGGTGATTATCACTCACTGATAAAATATTTATTTATTGTAAACCACATCTTTTTAATAAAATGTCAGCCTGTTAGTGTAAGTTTTAAATTGTGCTGAAGAGGGAAATAGTATCTTATCACTGGTGAAGAGTCTTATTACTGAAATAAGTTGTGAAAACTCCTGTGTGCACATTTGACTTGCATCTGTTTAGTCCTAGGGGATATGATTTTCTGAATGGACAGTTAGTAAAAGCTTCTTTAATCAAGCAGACAGAAGGGATGTCCCATTTCTCATCTTACTGGTTTCAGTAGGGACTGAAAGATGATTAATGTCTCAGATACTACATAATAGTTTCAAAGTAAAGCACAGCTGTTAGCCCTGTTAGACTAGGGTCAAGATATAAAATGCTCTTTCCTGAAAGATATTTAGGTTAGAAAACTGAAAATATTGTCTCTTTGAAAGAATTAAGCGTTTTCTCTCTCCTTCATGACTTTCTGGAGGAAAGAGCTGGCTATAAGTACAAGAATACTTGTTTCTTCAATGTGGTTCATTTCGTGCTGGAGAAAGCAAGGATTATTGTTTATGGCCTCACTCGGATATCTCTGCCTGGTGATTTTTTTCATCAGGTCATTTTTATGTTGCCTTTATTCTATTGATGTATTTCTCATGTTCCTGAATTAAGTAGTTTGGGGTTTGCTTTTTTTTTCCCCTTAGGTTGGTTTAGACAGTGCAATGTCATTCCGCACAGCAGAGATGTAGATTTGGGAATCTTTATAAGGGACTACAGAACGGATATCATTCCAGCCTTTCAGAAGGCAGGCTTACCACTGAAGCACAAATTTGGCAAGGTACCTGAACCATTTGCTTCTTATGTCTTTCTGTACATTTGTAAGTTTGAGTACAGCTGCAGATCAGCTAGGTAGAAGTGTGTATCCGAAGTCTCCCTGACAGACATATTTACTCATTAGAGTTTTACCTAAACATATAATCTTGCTGATTTTGTGTGTTCTTTTGGATGGAGAAAATACCCTTCTTAATAGCATCAGCCCTGTGCTGGGGCCTCTGAATTCCTCCTCAGATTATTTTTTTACTAGGTTTCAAAGGGGTCTAATATGTGTCAGTGGTTTCAGGGAAACCTGAGAATCAGGGTAGAATCTAGTCTTTGAGATCGGATGGGCCTTATTATACTGGAGCATTGGTGATAGCTCTGAGATAATCTGTAGCCCTGTAAGTAGAATGTTCAGAAAAGAAAGGATGGCTTGAGGTGGGCACTGGGCTTGTTCATTATTAGCTAATGTGGATCTTTATTCAGCTTTTTCAGAGTGAAATTTCAAGAATACCGATTTTCAGACACAGTTCAAGTGATGCAGTGTTACTGGTGCTAGTGAGCATTTTATTGTAGAGGAAGCATGTTATAGGAAGACACTAATTACGTGTTTATTCACTGAGATTATTTTGCTTGTGGCAGAGGGCAGGGAGATGGTGCTGCAGCTGTTGGAGCTAAAAGGAGGCAAGAGAAGGTAGTCCCACTGAAGGGCAGAAAGATTCCAATGTTCTCAAGGCATTAAAAATAGAAATAAAAAAACTGCAGAGTTAGCATATTTTCTTCAGTTAGGATAGGAGTCATTATTCATACCTGACCAAAATAAATTTGTTTTATGACACCTGCTGACATAAATAGCCTGTTGTTTTTATGAGTATATACACTGAGTATTTTTGTCTTGCAGGTAGAAGACAGCTTAGAACTCTCTTTCCAGGGAGACGGTGATGTGAAACTTGATATTTTTTTCTTCTATGAAGAGGATGACCACATATGGAATGGAGGAACTCAGGCCAAATCGGGCAAGAAATTTAAGTATGAACTGGATTTATACCTCTAATAGGAAGGAAATTGAACCGATTAGTGTTTACTGTTGGCATTTCATGTGTTACGTGTTGTTGCCTTGCAAAATCTGTGCTTATTGTGAGAAAGGCAGTTGTTGACAACAGCTAAAAAGCTATTTGATGAGTTTAGCTTCTTTTCCCCGTGGTAGTTGGCATTTTGTTGCTTTTTGGTTTAGTCTAGGGCTTATCAGCAATCTCTGGATATTCATATGAAAGTGCTTGATTACTTTTTTCTCTCTATCCATTTAAAGCATAAAAGCGAGGTTGTTTTATTTGCTGATACTGTTTGCTCAGTGCTTAGAAGTAAAATTAACTTTATGCTTAGAGGAACATGCGGGGGTTCTAATTGATGCAAATGCGTAAATCTTTTAGCCTTCTTCAAAAAGTCTAAATGTTTGTGGTTTAATTTTAACCTGTGAAAAGGAATTTTAAGATTGCTTTTTCTTGTGGAAGACTTCACAGATTCAGAAGTCAAGAGTAGTCCTCTGCAGAAATAGTACATAGGCTTAACTTGTTTAACAAATTGACACTATGATCGTACAGGATGTCTTTCTGATTAGTCTGTGAAATTTACCTGTGAACTTCAATGGGTGTAAGCATGCCTGTAGGTAGGGCTTATGTTGGCCCTTCTACAGGAAACAACAGGTCAGATTTATAGAATAATTTATTTGGGTTTTTTTCAATTTAAATGGGCTGAGGAGGTTTCAGAAAGTACAGGGTAGCAGCTGTGTTTTAATGCTTTGCAGCTGCTCCAAGTCTGGCACACCATGTTTAAACATGGGTGCTGAAGGGGAATTGCATGCTTTGTTTGGCAAGATTGAAGAAAGGTAAAAACTAGATTTTAAAAAAGGCCTGATTCATAATAAAGTATTTAATGCTGCTTTTATCAATTCTCCTCTAACATGTATCATCATCTTGACACAATTCTAAATGAGGTAACTGTTAAATCTAGTTTCTGAGTGAAAAAAGTAGAGACAGGGACTAAGTGATTTCCTAGAGGTGCCAGAATGGTATGGAAATAAACTGCAAAAGGATTAGAAATGCTCTTTGCTAGGACCCCGTGGCAAATGTTAACCAGTTACTGTTGATAATAACATCCTGTGGTGGTTTAACTGCAGCCAGCAATCAAATATCAAGCAGCTGCTTGCTCGCTCTCTCCCTTCCTCCCCAGTGGATGGGGAGGAGAATCAGAAACAGGTTAAAGCCTGTGAATTGAGATAAGAACAGTTTAATAATTGAAATAAAGTAAAAGATTATTATGATAATAACACTACTACTACTACTAATAATAATAATAACAATGACAACAATAATAATAACAAAAAGAGAGAGAAATAAAACCCAGGAAACACAAGTGATGCTCATCACCCACTGACCGATATCCAGCTTAACCCAAGCAGCAATCTGGCCTTCTGGGTGACTTTCCCCGGTTTATATACTGGGCATGATGTGCTGTGGTATGGAATACCCTTTTGGCTAGTTTGGGTTAGGTGTCCTGTCTCTGCTTCCTCCCGGCTTCCTGTGCCCCCCCCCCCCCCACTGGCAGAGCATGAGAGACTGAAAAGTCCTTTATTTAGAGTAAGTGCTACTGAGCAGCATATGAAGTATCAGTGTGTTATTGGCATTGTTCTCACATTAAATCCAAAATACCAGCACTGTACCAGCTACTAGGAAGGAAACTGACACTACGCCAGCTGAAACCAGGACAGTATCCATCCCTTATTCCATATCATTTATGACATGTTAGATCTCACACTTCTTAATCATAGAATCATAGTGATGCCATCTTTCCTGTCCAAAAAGACTGTTACGAAAAATGGAACCCAAGGTTGTGGACTAAATGAATTCAACAGACTTTTATAGCAGTGGTCCATAGACTAAGGGAATGATAGCTGTATGTATACACTAAAAACTAGGAAAAGTGATGGTGTACCATTCGATTTTCCCAGAGGGTGGTGCGTGATAGGGAATGTGATGTACCCACTTGACTTTGTGCTTTCTGGCACAGGTGTCTATGAGGTTTTTTTCAGAAATGAGTCCCGTTGTCTGACTCAATTATCTCTAGGTTGCAGCGTTGCCACAAAACTGTCCAGTATGTAAGTAGCGTTTCATAGATAGGAAGGTGTGAAATAAGAAAAAATACAAATACCCAATTGCTGCAGTTGATTGCTTTCTCTGTGAAGTTATTTAGAGGTGTATTTCAGTCTTCTGCAAGTGACCATGTTCTTTTGCTATGACACAGGTATCTCTTTCCAAAGTTTACTCTGTGTTGGACTGAATTTGTAGAGCTCAGGGTACATGTGCCCTGTGAAACCCTTCAGTATGTTGAAGCCAACTATGGCCCAGACTGGAAGGTTCCTGTGAAGACATGGGACTGGAAGAGCTCACCGTCTAACGTACAGTACAACGGTATCTGGCCTGTCGATGAATGGGATGACGTCATTCAGATCTACTGACCACCTGACTATCCTTGGAACCATCAGTTTGTAATTTCCCATTTCACAAAGGCATCAAATTCCAGTCCTTCTGTAACTTCTCATCTGTTTCCTGAGGAGACATTTGCCTTTTTTTTTTTTTAATATATGTATATTTTTTTATTAACAGGCAACTTTTTCACCTTCAGCATGCATTTTCCAGGAAAAGATTGAAGGCAACTGAAAGAAAGAAGATCAGAAAGAAAAACTGCTCAAAGGGAATAGAGAGAAATGCTGCAGTAGATTTATGGGCTGTTTAACTGACTATTTAATTGACATTTAATTCACTATTTAATTGTAAATAGTGGCAAGGTGGCTTAGACTTTCCTTGGATCGTCAAAACTGTGGGACTCTTCACTTCTCAAGCTTAATAGAGGGATAGGATGGAAGAATCACAGAGAAGTTCCTTTCTTTCAGAGGAGATCCACTGAATATTCAACTTTAAAACTCCAGAGTTATGAGTACCTCAGATGTGCCTGATCTGAGACTGCTACATTCCTATGATGCACAACAGGTTGCTCTTGTCAGTTGAATGTTTCTATTAGACAGAACCCATGTGGCTCACCTGCTTTAATGTAGGAGGTGTTGGGTAATACTAAATGAATGGAAGGAGAAATTATCGACATTGGACATATTCCAAATAATAGCTGTTTGTTTTGTTTTGTTTGTTTTGGTGTGGGTTTTTTTTTGTGAACTATTGCATGCAGTTATGACAGGGAATGTTATTTGCCTTTTTTTTTAATTTTTTATCTTTTTAAGGACATGAAGGTGTATGCTGCAGGGTGTCTTCTCATGAAAAAATACATATTCTGGGTTTAGTGTCCCAATTAGTGTGCTCTCCCTGTAATGGTTTTGACTGGATTTTAGAGAATTATAGCTACCTCTGATTTCTTACAAGGAGGTGGAAATGGGTTATTCATTGTTTTCTGTTTAACATGGACCCACAGAACAGAGATGTTGGAGGACTGCGGCTCTTTAAGCAGAAGTGTGTAAAGATGCCAACTGTCCCATCAAATCTGCAGTAGCATAATTACACTAACACTCCACTTGCAGCATTAGGCTTTGGGTGGGAAGAAGGTGGAAGCCTGGTAACTCTTCTGCTTCTGCTTGTGCTTTTGGTGAATGAAATAAGCTTGCTGCTTATTAAAATAAGCATTTTTGAGTGAGATAATAGCTTTCATATGAGCATGTGTGTCCCAAGTTTGGTCCTGCTGTGTGGGGAAAACAAGGGCACTAGAGCTGCTAGTGAGTTATGACTGTAATATACAGTACAGACCCAGGAGTACTTGTGAATCAAGGTACTGAATGGAGCTTATACTTACTTGCACCAAACTTGTATCCATTCCGTCCCTCTTAAATAAGAAAGGTGTTACCTGTGGGTTGCAACTTTTCCACCTTTCATTGGGAAGAGGTGGGTTGAGTCTGTGTTTTGTGTTCTGTTGATCTGCAGTTCTCTGCTGTGTATTCAAATGTGTACAGTTCTGGAGAGATGAAATAGCTACTGCTGTGCAGCTGTTTTACTATTGTATCATTCCAGCTGCAGGCTGGGCTTCCCTGCTGTTTTCATCCTGGAGTGTGCTGCATGCTTTCTCCTGCCAGCACTCTCAGTTCCAGCAGTCAGGAGGCTCAGTGCCACTGAAGCACTGGAATAAATTATTCAGCTTCTGGCAGCAACTTGTCATGTTGGCTCTTCAGTTGGTGTGGTAACTTTGTTAGCTTTTGTCTAATTGAGAAGGGAGAAATGTAAAATCCTGCTAATGCCATTTACTCAGTAAAGTAGACTTTATATCAGAAGGGATAATTTCTCAGAAGTTGTTGTAGTTTTTCCCTTAAAATGAAAAAAAGCCAATGTCCGTACATTTCTTTTTGTGTTCAGAACTCTGTTTTCACCAACTTTTGTTTAGTAATGTACAGTCAGCTTATCAATTTTTCAAATGTAATAGATGTTTAAGAGTGGAAAGAAAAGATACTATCAGAAAATTATAAGCCTGCCAAATTTTTTACTTTTTAGATGGGAAGACTAATGGAAAAAAATGCCTATCACTGAAAGGGAGGATGCCTTAAGCAGTTAAGTTATGTAAGTTAACCTACGTACCTGTAAGTTATTCTTCAGGTTAAAATACTTTCTCTTCACAAGACACTGATTAAAAGGAGAGTCTAATTTGCATATCAGGGTGTTGTTTCATCCTCTGAATCCTTCAGCATTTAACACACTTCATCACAGTACCGTGACGTAACGCACCGAGAAGAATTTTGAACTGTTTCTCAGGCTGCTTGTTGACTGTCTTATCTTGAGCTTTTATTTTTAAATAAAGATACTTAAACGCCACAAAGATACTTGGAATGAAGCAGGTGACCATGTGTAGAAAAAAGGATCTCTCAACTGCACACACACATTTACCTTCTGCATGTCTCCAGTCGTATTCTGTGCAGTGCCCTGATGGCAGATCTCCTGCTTGTAAGGGCTACATCCCAGGGAACGGTGTGAACATGGCAGAACCGGTGCTCTTTGAAGGCACACTGTGAGGCTCTGAAGCCTTGTCATGCCCATGGAAGTACACAGATGTAGGCATTTCTGTGTCCTGTTAGGTTATCCTGAATTGCCTCATGTGAAATAGATTATTAATTCTGTGTTACCTTCCTAACTTACTACCTACCTTCATTTTGAAAGTTCTTTGAAGACAAGGGCAATTTCTGAATTCTTTTAATGGCATGCATTTATGGTCTTAAGAAGCATCAACATGTGAAATACCTTAAGAAAGCACATTACATATGTGTAACTGTTAAAGGTAGCAGAGCCTATTCAGAGAATGCCCATGAGCTGAGATGAGGGTCACAGGATGTTCAAAGCTTCAGAGTAACTGCAAAGATTGAAGAAATAGGGTTCCCTGAAGAGAAGGGACCCTGAAGAGAAGAGATGCCATATTCAAAAGATGGTTGTACAATGGAAGAGATGTATGTACTCCCTTTCCATGACTGTTAGGGAAGTAAAAGGGAGGAATGTAAATTGAGGTGGCCTGCATCGCAGAATCCTGGAGTGTTGTATATGTGTGTAAATGCGTAAAGCCTTTGATTTTTAGGGTTTCTGAGAACAGACGAAAGTCAGCCAAGACAGAAGGTAGTTTGCTTTTTATCTGTCCAGAAGGAATCTTGCCATAGAAGGGCTTGTGTATGTTCCACCCTACTCTTCTTTTAAAGTCAGAAGTGGAAGGTAGTCAAAACTGTAATGATACAGATGGGAGAGAGTCCTGAAAATATGGTTGAATCTTCCACTGCTGTCCAAATGGGAAGAATTGGCTGATTTTGCTATGCCCTGTCCCTTGAAAGAGTCTGGAATGTGTTTGTTCCCAACAAACAGTTGCATCCTTTGCTGCTTTAGAATTCTCTCCGTCATATGTCTTAAAGTCTGTCAAGAGAAAAACAGTTTCTGCTTTGCACTGTCAGTTGAATTGTTTGTTTTGCACAGGTGAGTGAGATGCTTAAGGGGTAACATCTGTTTATAGTACAGATACCGAAGGAGCAACATCTGGGTAATAGTAAGAAACATTCCTTCCAAGGACTGGCTTGTCACAGTGCAACAGCTTTCAGGAGCTTAATTCTGTCCTTTATTACCCATCGGCAGAATTCTCTGAGATCACATAGCAGTTTGAGAAATTTGGGGGCAGCTACCTCACTGTGTAGGCCTGCTTTTTGCTCTTCATGTAATTCTGTCATGCTGTGTATTACAGAATTGAATGTGGGAACTTGAACACTGCCAGGGATTAGGCATCCACAACTTCTCGGGGCAACCTGTGCCAGTACCTCACCACCCTGACGGTAAACAATTTATTCCAAATATTTAATCCACCTTCTTTCAGTTTAAAGGTATTATTCCTTGTCCTATCACTGTGCTCCTTGATAAAATGTCCCTCCCTATCTTTCCTGGAGCCCCCCTTTCGGTACTGAAAGACTGCTAATAGATCTCCCCAAAGTCTTCTCTTCTGCAGACTGAACAAGCCCAACTCTCTCAGCCTGTCTTCATAGTAGAGGTGCTCCAGCCCTTTGAGCATCTTTGTGGCCTCCTGTGAACTCATTCCAGCAGTTCCATGTCCTTTTTATGTTGAGGACACCAGAACTGCACACAATACTCCAAGTGAGGGCTCACGAGAGCAGAGGGGCAGGATCACCTCCTTCGACCTGCTGGTCACGCTCCTTTTGATACAGCCCAGGGTACAGTTGGTTTCTGGGCTGAACTTGCACACTGCTGGCTCATGTCCAGCTTTTTCAATCCACCTATGTCCTTCTCCTCAGGGCTGCTGTCAGTCCATTCTTCACCCAGCCAGTATTTGTGCTTGGAATTGCCCTGACCCCATTCACGTGGGCCCACCTCTCAAGCACATCAGGGCCCTTCTAGGTGGCAACTCTTCCCTCTAGAGTATCGACCACACAGCTTAGTGTTATCTGCGCTGAGCGTGCTGAGGGTGAACTCAGGCCTTTTGTCCCCGCCACTGACCACTGCCAGTCCTAACACTGACTGCTGAGGAGCACCACTCATCACTGGTTGCTACCCAGACATCAAACCATTAATTGCAACTCTTTTGAGTGCAACCATCCAGCCAGTTCTTTATCCACAGAGTCATCCATCTGTGAGATCCATGCCTTTCCAGTTTAGAGACAAGGATGTTGTGTGGGATGGTGTCAAATGCTTTGCACAAGTCCAGGTAGATGGCATCAGTTGCTCTTCCCTTACCCACCAATGCTGTGAACCCATCGTAGAAGGCCACTGAATTTGTAAGGTACAATTTGCCCTTAGTGAAGCCATGTCCAGGACTTGTGTCAGTCCAGGAGTGGTGTCAACATCAGGATTTTGGAGTTTTTGACCATGGGTCAGTCTATACAGCACCAGGCCTGCTGGCAGCAGATGGGGTACACCTGTCCCAAAGGGGGAAAAGAATCGTAACCCAGCAACTAGCAGGGCTTATCAAGAGGGCTTGAAACTACATTTGAAGCAGGAGGGAAACCAGGCTCACTAAAAATGAGCCAGGGGGTAGCATGCCAGTGTTGGAGGCCAGTCCCCCAGAGCAACTTAAATGCATCTATGCCAATGGCAGCAGCATGGGCAACAATCAGGAGGAGCTAGACACCATTGTGCATCAGGGAAATCATGACATAATTTCCATCACAGAAACATGGTGGAATGATTTTCATGATTGGAGTGCTGCAAGGGACGGCTACAGGCTCTTCAGAAGGGAGAGGCAAGGAACAAGAGGTGGTGGGGTTGTGTTGTACATTGGGGAGCTCAATCAACTGCCTGGAAATCAATGTTGTGAGCAAGAAGGCTGTGTTTGTGGTGAAGATGAGGGGGAAGGCCAACCAAGCACGTATTCTGGTAGGATTCTATTACAGACCACCCAGCCAGGATGAAGCTATGAATGAAGTGTTCTTCAAACAACTGGAAGAAGTTGTCTGAAGGGGTTTGATCGCTTGGCCTTGTTCTTATGGGAGAGTTCAACCTACCAGATGCTTGCTGGAAGTGCAACACAGAAAACGGGAAACAATCCTGGAGGTTCCTGCACTGCATGGAAGACCACTTCCTGATCCAGCTGGTGAGTGAGGCAGTGCTCCCCACCGGCTATGGTGGGCTGGGGGGACCTGGGTATGTGGAGCTGTGCCCTCTAGTTGCTGCAGCAGCAGCAGGTGTTATGCTATAAAGGGAAGAGAGGCCATGGTCATTGTCTGTCCCAGGGAGGGGTGGTGGACAGTTGTGGTGCTTCAGTCTCTTTGCTTTCTACCAGCTCAGTCATTTCTGTTCATACCACTTCGAAATGAAAATAAACCAAGTGGCCCTCCTTGACATCAAGCAACTAATTTCAGTGCCTTTTATGCCATCACCTCCTGTTAGAAAAAACTCCTGAGCTTAGCAGCTTCCACAAGGAGCTACTGTTGAACTCTGTGGCCTCTCCTCTTGAGTTGACACTAGCCCTTTTTTATCGCCTCTGCTGTCCTGAGTGGTACCTCAGAACCCTGTCAGGGCAGCAGGAGACTCTTCTGTTGAAAAATCTGCATGTTTGCTCTTCAGGCGCTTGTAATCATCTCACATTGTCAGCATTCAGGCTTTGGCCGCCCATTAATACCAACCTTTCCAGCTGCACTGACAGAGAGATATTTCTGAACAAACATGGAAGGGGAGAGGAGATTAAATAGGTGACAGCTGGTGAAGACAGGAGCCAGGCCAGGGCAGCTTTTTATAATTGATTATTTTATTTGGGGAAGCCAAGATACATTTGTGGCATAGGGGGATTTGGGGTGTGTCTCCATGACTGACCAAACATACAGTGTCTTCTCCCTGGGAAAACTGTTTATCTATACACATGGATGCCTTGCTAAGTTGTTGTTATGTGTTCCTTTCCAGGCATATTCATAGAGTAAATGCACAGAAAACCCAAGGTCTTGTCTACGCACTGAAAAGGCAACTGCCTGAAACAAGCAATAGTGTTTCCAAGCACGCCCATTATGACTGTATCGTTATACTGGCATGCAGGCTTTTGTTCCAGAGCAGACAGGCTTTAGCAGGAGAGGGAGTAAACCAAGCACGCACCTGTGATCTGAACTCACATTCTGTCCCACGAAGGAGGGGCCATACCAGTGCAGACTATACTCTTGTAGCCCCCAGGTAAGTGGATGAAGGGGGTTCTCATGCAATATTTGGAAGAAAATAAGGCGTTTTTCTTGATACGTACCTTCTCATCCCTGGAGACTGACTTCCTGCAGCAGCATATGGTGCAGCCTCTACACCTCTACAGCCACGGTGTTCTGCTCTGCACTTGGGAAGAAAAGGCACATTGCTGTGACTCATGGCCCTAGCACAGAGAGGGAAAAGGATATCAGTAGGTCTTATAGCTGAGAGTTGGAGGTTACTTTGTGGTGTTCTTGGGTATTGGTGTTTGGTCTGTGAACCTAATTAAGACATTAACATACCTGGGAACATAGGAATGCCGTCAGTGAAGAAGCTTGGGTACCACCTGTGATGACTTACCTGCACTGCTGGTGCCTTTTGCAACCTGAGGCTACTTGCTGTAGGATCTCCTCAGGTTAATGATGCCTCTATGATGCATTCATTGTTGTTCAGAAAAAGTACCTGTTTTGTCCTACTGAGATCAAAATGTTGCTAAGGGACAATGTGCTGAGACATTTGTTGGCCTCATTCATTACTGGTCTTTTACAGCCACTTCATTGCATTACTCCATGATGTTAACAAGATAAGATTGAAGTGTTAAGCCCTACCAGAGTACTTTCTGCCTTGCTAAGGTCTTTCTGCCAACAAACCCTAATAAAAGTGTGTACAGCAATGGCAGCTGGAAACAGCAGATTACACGCTGACAGTGCTGGCTGTCAAAATTTAGAAGACCTTGTGTTGTTAATAGTTAGTATGGTGTGGTTTGCGCTCCCTTGGAACTCACGACCCAAGGTAGGTAGACAGGGACTTAAATCTGAATTGCTGTGTGATACCTAAATAATGGCCAGGTTCTGTGCAGAAAAGGGCATCTACCTCCTGGAAAGGCAGCACTGTCCAAACAGAACAGTCCTGGGTCTGATATATTCCCTGCTAATGCTGATGTTGTAGAGAGAGAACACAGGGGGCCATTCTAATAGTGCTCCATTATTCAGCAAGGCTGTTTTACAGCAAAATGCCTGGCTAAGGCCAGTTTGTAAAGAGAGAAAAATGCTGGGGGTTGGTGAGTCCTTTGCAAGTTTTCTCTATATGGGAGGAAAGGGGAAAACATGAAGTAGAGGGAAATATCAGATCCCCCTTCATGACCTGCCCCGTACCTGGTACAAAGCAGGAAGGCTGCGGATGCCAGCCCAGCTGCATCCAGAGCACCCGCCAGGTGGGCATTGCTACCCTCACACATACTGCAGATCAGGACCACAGCTCTAACAGCGACCAGTTTCAGCTAAGAGGTTTTGGGTTATTCTTCCTTTTCCTCCCCAGCCATCCCCCCCACTGCCTCTCATCCTTGGTCTGTGCTCAATCCCAGGGAGCTGGGACACAAGCAGGGAGCTTTATTTATAGGGAAGAAAAACTGTCAGCAGCGGTGGGCAGAGGGGTGTGAGTGGAAATCAGTTGTGCTGATAAGCCTTCTCACTGTATTTTATTTTACTGAGGTTCTTAACAAATGATCTTTATGAAATGCAAACCTGGCTTATCAGGCTAATGCAGATTGTCTGAAATCCTTATCTCCACGGGCCAGTTAGCTGGAGTGATCCCCTTTTCACAATGAATAGAGAATGAAGAGCTGCACACAAGCCTACCCCTCCCTCCTTCCAATCATTGCCATTTACTGGCAGTGAACCAAACAGCTCTGATTTCCAAACTCATAAATAACGCAGAGGCTTCAGAGCTGAGCTGTCCTGTGTTTGGAAACAGTTGCTCAGCTGAGCAGGGGGCCCAAGCTGGCCTTGAGGGGCAAGGGGCAGGGAGAGGGAAAAGGGGCAAGAAGTCCCTGGTTTGTTTCACTTTCTGAGAACAGTCTACGTTTAAGCCAGCTTCTAGTGGTAGATACAGCATGATCTCACACACACAGGTGCGAGCCTCCCTGTAACTGTTGTCAGTGGACCCAGACCCTGACATTTAAATGTGTTTTCTCCGCGTGCTTTTTTGCTCCGTAGCGTAGTGCTATCTGCCAGGGAGAAGCTGCTGTTATTTGTAGGTTGAAGATTTATGGTGAGAAACTTGCCCACTGCTCAGGAGAAGGATATTTCTTCATTGTGTATGTATTTTCTGTACCTCCTGTGGATCAAGTTTGTGTACCTGGGGAATGGATAGCAGCTAAATAGCTCTGCTGCCTTTTCTGGGGATAGAAGCATGGAAAAAGTAATGGCAGCTGTGGGAAAGTTTTATTGTTCAGGCTGCTGAACTCTGGGAACATCTCTGGGAACACACAGTGGAGCAAACAGATACCACTGTTCTCTGCCTGTGATGTGTGGTGATGTCCTCCATTCCTGGGGTACTATGAGATGCAAGATGATCTGCACCAGGTCCTAGTCCTTTAATTCCAAATTAGAACAGGCCTGTACTTAGGTGACAAAACCTAGTGAAGAAGCAGCCTGATTTTATCCATCAACATGTGCACGTTCTTTTAACTGTATTTTGCCCCTTTTGAATATTTTTCTTCTCAAGAGGCAAGGGCCTAGATTTAGCATTCGGTGCAAGGGGACCTCACAAAGCCACAGTTGTACGGAGAAACAAGGCTCTGTAGGAAGAAGGTTTCCCACAGCATGTGTCACATAGAAACGCTAGTGGAGCTGCTGTCAGTTCCTCATTCTTCTTGACATCTGGGCAGATGCCAGTACGAAGGATTAGTTCAGCAACAGAGATGAACTTCCTCAAAGCAGGAGAGCTTTTGTGCACCAGGATGCAGTTTACCCTTTGTATTGATACTAGAGTTAACTGCTAAATCTGGGAATATGAATTATACCAGAGCATGGAAATATCTTGATGATATGTCTACCATGGAGCATAGAAGTAATCAATGTACCATGTGTTAGAGCGGGCACCTTGTGTGACATGCTACACCACAGAGGTGCAATTGCTGTCTAGCTTTGCACATTATGCAAGACAAATCCTATCAGCCAGCGTCTGGGAAGAGTTATTTTTTCCAGGCAGCACTGAGGTGTGAGCTCTGATCTCCCTTCAACATAGAGCAAAAAAGCAACTCCCTGTGTTGCAGCTCCTTGGAAAACAAACCCAAAACCACACAATGGAGACGACTGTACATGTGCTGTCAGCACACACTATGTCTCATATGGTGGCTCCTTCCCAGCTTTTGTCCTTGTGCTTTTTTACCTGGAAGTCAGAAGTGTTTTCCCTTTCTGGCTTCAGAAAAGGAGGAAAAAATGGAGAAACAAGCTTGCAGGATGGCTTCACCATACTCTGCTACCTCCCTATTTAAATAGGTAACTATGTAGCATTATTCATTCATGCTGCTGTTGGTAGGCCTAAGGAAGACACATTCCACCGTGAATCTGTTTAGGTGGTATCTGTGAATGGCAGCTGTCATGAAGGTCTTCAGAAGCCCCCAGACAAGTACAGCAGGCATAAGTGAATATGTAAAGCAACACCAGCATCTCCAGAGCTAGCTGTGAGGATGGAGTCTGCTCCTGGAAACAAAGGCTCACAATTAGTCTTGGGTGATTATATTGCAGCATTTCTACTGAAGGATTAAGCTTTATTGTATCTCTTTTCTTCTAGGAAGTCCAGTTTTCCTTTCCTTGTAAGGCTCAAAACCGTGTTACAGTTGCCTAGCCTTACAGATGTCCCTCTGTACAATAGAAAAAAGTCCAAACTCTTCCTCCTTCCCTGGCTTTGATGTGGATGCACGTGGGAGAGTTCAGCTCCTGCTGCCTGCTGTTTCGCCTAATCTGGAGACTGTCCCCAGTACTTTCCATTCCACAGTTACCATGTTTCTTAGCTTGGAGTTTCACCCCTTCAGCGTGAGTGGACATTTGGGGTGCAGATCTAGTTCTGTTAAAACCAGCAGCTGAACTTGTCTTGCAAGGACCTGAACTTCATCCATCTCCCTCTCCTCCTGGAAGAGCTTGACTCAGTCCAGTCGATGCCCTTAAGCACTGCTGAAGTTTGTAATATGTCCACGCAGCTATGGCATTCAGCTTCTCTTCATTAAGTCTTGTCTTTAGCCTGCCTGTTGAGTTGTTATGGCAGTTAGGTGCTCTGCTGTATGGGAGGTCTTGGGCTGTGCTTGTGAGAGAGCTGTTTTGCAGGCTTACTCCTTCTCCCCTGAGCATGCAGCTGGGCTGCCCTGGTGGGTTCTACTGCCCTTCCCACACTTGCCAACGCAGCCAAGTACCCTTGATAACCGTGGCACTTGTGGGCAACAAAAGATGACATGTTGGGTGTGAGACTTTGGGTGCCCTGAGCATACTCATCCCCCTGTCACTACATTGCTCGTGGGGAAAGACATATGGGCTACAGCCTGTGAAGCCCTCTGATGGTGTTAGGTCTGTTCTGCTCCCAGCTGAACAGGGTACTGGTGAGAGCAGTGAAAACTACAGTTTTGGTTCTTGCATGCACAGGACCCTTCTATTCAGCTCCCTTCTATGGCAGGCCTGGATGGGTCCTGCTGAACTACCCACAGGGAATGCGGGAGGAGCCACACAAGCTGGCCCTTTTCAAAGGTGATGGCTGTTCCTGATAATGCCAACTGGCTCAGCTTTCATTTCAGCTTCCTGAAGACTCATGCAGACAGATCAATTAGGGACAGCACACATGAAGCTTCAACGCTCCCCCAGATAATAATAAAAATATGCCCCTGCTTTTCTCCTTCCTTGAAGTCCCCAGGAGAGAATTAACTGGTGCTGCAGGTGCAGCTGTCCTGCAGGGTGGTGAGAGCAATGAATAGTAAGGTTTTTAGCTCAAGCACACTAAGGCTGTTCAGCAGCCATTGGATAATCTTCTGTTAATCAGATTATGTAAATTACTACTTCAGCATCCCTATACCATCTCTCGTCCCCCTGCTCTTCAAGCTGGAAATAAAAGGCACTCTAAAAAGAAACATTTAACTGCAAAAAGGCAGCGCTGCTGAAAGGGGTGGGCAGAGGGTGCTGGGACGAGGAGCAGGGCTTTGTTTCTGTGCAAATGGGTGTTTCTGCTTG